ATGTAGTCTATAAGGGTATCATTGTAATTTGAACTTCAAACTCGAATTTTACTTTTTCTTTAATAAAATTACAGAACTACACTATCGGTAGAAGCATAATTAAAAATAATGTTGACAAATGAAATCACTTTTGATAGGGAGTGCTTAACTCAACAACAACAATACGATATATGTAGTGTAGTTCCATAAAGTGTATCTGAAGAGGATAGAATATATGCAGATTTATCTTTATCTCAGAAACATAAAGATTATTTCCGACAGATCTTAAGAAATGTTTAACTTCCTAAATTAAATTATTCAACATAAATCATAATTGATCTAACCCTGAAATAAGTATGGGACATCATATGGAAGAAATAAAATTGATGGTGAGTATTCATCTTAATGGAATAATTCTTATGCTAAAATGTGTTCCAGATCAGTCAGTTGTTATAAGTGAAAATTTCAAACCAACTTTTGTCCAAATAGCTAAAAATAGAAGGTTTAATTTTTATTTCTTGCCCAAAAACTTTTGGACAATTTTAATGTTTGTGTGGGATTATACCAACCTTTTCTGTATCACTTTTAATTTTATCAAATATCCAAAAGAGACTAATAAAAGAACAGTTTGATGTAGAAAAAAGAATCAAATTATACTATATCTTGCATTTAATTTAATAAAAGAAAATGACACATTAAATAAATAATTATGTAAAATTCTAAATTCGATTCGAAGTGTTTTGACAGTTGGACTAAATCAGAGACAGTACATAAAAGGGAGAAAAAGTTAGTCTATCACGTGGTAAAGTTTAGTATATATTTGATTAAAATAAAAAAGCAAAACGTGATAAATATTTTGAAACGAAGAAACAATAAGAATAAGGTTACTATACCTCCTCAAAACTATACTATTAAATATGGGGGTTATTTTAGTCATTGTTATGACTTTGATTAAACATGTTTACAGAGGTTTTGAAGATCGTCTTGTTATTAGATTGCAAAAAGTTTATGTGCATCACAATATATAAATTTGATCTCCATAAATAAAATATTTTTCTTTTTGCAATGATACGTATAATCTATCGACCCCTGATCCATATCTTATTTATGAGACTCTACAAAATATGAAAAGGAAGAAAAGTTACTTTTATCACATGTTTCACTTCTTTTTACACGCTATATGTGAATAATTACCTCATATTTGTCTCGACTTTAATTCACATAAGTACTTTAGTATAAAATTTTGAATAACAATAAACATAGAGAATCATTATGAATCATGTGAATGATATTTTTTATGTACCTGTCTTGTTCACGTGAACGTCGTTTATTTAAAAAATTATTTCATGTTTGTCTGCTTTTGGTACATGAAGTTTGGCCTAGAGTACAACCGATCAAAGCAGAAACAGTGAAAATAAATTAATGTGGATGGTGAACCTACTTAATTAATTTTAATTTGGTTAAAAATTTGTCAAATAGTCAAATATACACGTTTTATTAGTGCCATTATTTATCTCACGTGTAGTATACTAAAATTATGGGCTCCTTTATTTATTTATTTAGAGAAACGCGTAAAAATTCAAATTTAATTTAAATTTCATTTTACGGGTGATTTAAATTCAATATTGTTACAAACTTAACATAATTTGCTGGCGTTATTATTTGACATTTTTTGACTAATAGCAAAATATTATTATAATCATCTCATGTTGCAATAAAGATTGAAAATTTAAAGGGTAAAATAGGTATTTAGCTTATTGAATGACCTTTTCAGTGTTATTGGCTTAGTAAAGTGATTTTTTTGTCACAAACAAAAGACACGTGATTTTACTAGATAATTTTGTATAGTTAAATAATGTGTTCGATAAGCCTGTGAAGAAACAAACTATTCCCACCTCACGCAATCAATTATAATGGAGAGGAGTCAGATCCCCCTCTCAACCCCCCCCCCCCCCCACCCCACCCCCACCCCCACACCTTTTCATTTTTTTGAAGTCTGCAAAATACATTTGTTTTCTTTTTCCTACTTCTTGTTTGATTTTCGATTGCTGACATTTGACTGAAAGAAGAAGACCAGCAAATGCATGTAAAAAGTCGTATTCTTCCTGTGATATACTTTTCAAGATGCATGTAGTATAATTTAGGTTTTTTTATTAATGAAGTAGAAAGATCAATATATCATATTGGTGCATAATGGATGAAATTAAGGCTTATATTCTAAGTTTTATGTGATAATTAATTAGAAGATCGATGTTATCAAAACTTATTGACAAGTTTTACAGATTGAGTGGGATAGACCAATTATGTTGTATGGAGCGGAGTGTCGCACGTTCAAAAGATGAATATTGTGAATGAAGATGTAGTGCGATGGATGTGTGAGTGCACATAGAGTCCTAGAGATAGAACTAAAATTGAAGATATCCGAAACAAGGTCGTGGGATCGGAGTGACCTTGTTGGAGGACAAGATGAGGGAAACAAAAATGAGATATGTAATTCGGGCCTGTGATGAGGATCGGAGATGCACTAATGCTCCAGTGTGGAGGTGTGGGAGGTTGACTATGGATGATTTTAGCAGAGGTAGAGATAGATCAAATAAGTATTGAGGAGTGACATGATGACACAATTTCTTCTTATCGAGGATATGACCTTAGATAAAAGATTATGAAGGATACAGAGGTAGTAGGTTAATTAGTAGGTAGTTGAGCATTGTCACGCTTATATATATATATATATATATATACTAGTAATCATAATATTATTTATGTAGTTTCTTGTCCTTCAAATTCTGTTATTATCTGTTGTTTTCTATACTTCGATTACTGCATTATTTATGATAAGTTGTTGTTCCACTTTTCATATTGCTTTATCATGCTTTATATATTATAATATCAGGACTTTTTCACTTCCCTTTTTTCTTCTTCAACTAGTTTGTTTTGCTTTTTCTCGAGTCAAAAGGTCTATCGAAAATAGCTTTTTTCTACCTCCCAAAATAAAAGTATGATCTGCATACTAAGTACATTATATTCTTTCCGACTCCATTTATTAAATTATATTGAGTATGCTTTGTTGTTGTTGTTTTTATGCTAGACCTAGACCCTAGTAGTGATTAAGAAATGTAAATTAAAGACTTATTCCATGACAATAATTGACGTACGGCATGATTTCCATGCATTGTATTTGATAATAACAAAGAAGAAAACTATATTCTAATCATATTAGTTGTTTGTTAATTGCTATAAAAAATAAGTAATAAAATACTCCTAGTAGTACAATTGTTTTAACAAATTTTCACAAACAGTGGAATCTTACTTTTCACGTATCTCAAAGGCTAGTTTTCATTTGATAATTAAAATTTTATAATCCATCGTGATAACCACCACCAGCATTTACGATAGGTTAATTACCTAGTCTAATAAAAAAAAAACTGATTTTAGTTTTCGTAATATTTGATCATCTATATATTTAATCTTTAATTATTTATAAATTTCTCTTTTTTCTTATGAATAATCAAATCTTTTTTAAAGTATATGTGAAATTTGTATAGCTACTACATCTTCATGATTTCCGTAACATTCATTATATTTCTACACTGGTAAAATTATCTACGTCTCGCACGGATATTTAGTAGTATCACAAAATTTATAAAATAATTACTAAAATGAGAAAAGCACTGTTTACATTACTTTTTTGTTCAGTTTTATAGTGAATACAGATCAAAGATAGGTCATAGTATATATTACCGTTTAAGCAGTAAAGTGTCTTATTTTAATTTTAAAACAATTCTTTATTTGGAAGAAAAAAGAAACTATTGGACACAATCTTTATAAATACCATAAAAAAATATGGTGCGGTGGATATGACTGCTTATTCCATAATTACAAGCCACAGATTTAAACCCTAAAAATAGAAAAATTCTTGATAGAAAACACTTCCCCTCGAATAGGATCCTCCTCTCTATGAATTCTTATATGAATATCTGAGTGAGAAATCAAAAAATATATTTACAAATGACGTGGATTCTTTTGTTTGTGGAGTATGCCTCTTTCAAAAGGATTATGCACTCCAAACAACACCAATCAAATGATTCATTAGTGATGAAAAAAAGTTAAATATGTGGAGCAACTCTTTCCTTACCTACTCCCGCGCCTCAATTCCTTTGAAAATACCAAAACTTAGAAGAAAAAAAGAAGAGATTTTGTAAAATAATATAATACATAAACAGACTATTTAAGCTGATAACTATATATATTTTTAATTTTGTGTGTGTACGAATAAATATTTGAATTTGTATATAATTATATTAGTAAACATATCCTACATAGCATAATACAAATCAACTTGAATATATCTCATCATAACAATATCAAAGATTACTAATATATCATATTCAATAGTATTCTTATATATACTCCTACCAATCACCTTATTCACTATTGTTGTTCTAAATTCTAATACATCCTATTCATTTAATAGAACAAGCTCAACCATCAATAAAAAGTTATCAGCATAACAATTTTGAACATTACTAATACAACATATTTAACATTATTGCTCTTATATTTACGTTTACCAAGCATCCCAAAAAATTGTGTGGAAGAGTAAAGGTGGTTTTTCTTTTATGATTGTGGTTGTCCGAGCCAGCTTTCGTGCACCTCAACTAATTTCACAAGATACCTTCCATCTCTCATCAGCAATAGATATAAGGTAACCCTATCCAACAAGGTTAAGACAAATAGAAAAAATCAGCTAATTTTATTTTTTTATCTCTATTGAGTTTCAAACCTAAAACGAGTTTTTAATCACTTTATTAACCATTGCGCCACACAGTTAGAAAAACGTGGATTTTACTTTAATAAAGTGAGCATAATTGCCAATTTGCAAAAGTTTGAAATTTTAAAATAAGATACCCTTTATATAATGTTCCCCACTAGTAATTTACCATTTCATCATCCTCCCTAAACTTCTAAAACCTATCTCTAAACCCCCACACCCACTCCCACCCCCCACCCCCTCAAATCTTTTTCCTCCTTTGTGCCTCCATTAATGGAAGTTGAAGAATTCCTTAACCTCTTTGATTTTCACTGGTTTCAATCCCAAATACTCAAACCCAAACACCCCTTTTCTACAACCCCAATTGTTGAACCCATCAAACAAATTCTTGAAGAAACCCCAAAACTTTCAAGAACTCCAACTTTTATGGTCAGATCTCAGAGTGACCACTGTTTGATCTCTAAAGATTACACCTTTGATAGTATTTCAGAGAAATCACAATCCCCATCTCCAAAATCTGTTCTTGAAGCTAAACTTCAGCCAATTCTGTCTGGTAAAGAATACAATGAGCTCAAATTTTCCCCTGAAGCAGCTGTTAAAAACAGAGCAAATGTAAGAAGCAGAAAAAAGAGAAGTAAAAATAGTAAAAGTTTATCAGAGCTAGAATTTGAGGAGCTAAAAGGGTTTATGGATCTTGGATTTGAGTTTTCAGATAAGGATAAAGATTCAAATTTGGTGTCAATAATTCCTGGATTGAAGAGATTAGGAATGGAAAATGAAAGGGGTTTTGATGAAAATGATGAAAGTGGAGTTTCAAGACCTCATCTTTCAGAAGCATGGGGTGTTTGGGAAGAAAAGAAAAAAATGGAGGACTGGAAAAAGAATGCATTGAAAAGTTGGAAGATTAATTCAGATTTTGGAAATGAAATGGAAATTAAAGATCAGTTGAAGTTTTGGGCTCATACTGTTGCTTCTACGGTTAGATAGTAACCAGATATGTCGGGTTCGAGTCTTGGATACGAGAAAAGTTTTAATTGAGTGTTACCCTTAAAATAGGTTCTGTAATGTGCGATTTAATGAGAGCGAACTCTAATACGAGTATCGAACTTCGAGTTGAAACCAAAAACCAAAAAATAGTTTCAAGAAGATGAGATGGGATTACTTTTTCTTTTGTTGATCTAACTGTAATATATTTGTATGGCTAAATTTCTCCACTTAATCATAGAAAGCTTTTTATTTACTACATTGATTTGTTATCTTACATTAAAATCATCCTTAATAATATTTTTGGATTAATTTGTACATATTTCAACTATTTTATGACATTGTTACATTGTTAAAAATGATCAAGTAGTTCATATGTTTTAATTTATAATCACACAAACATCATTATTATCTGTTTGAATTGCTTTGAAATTGAATTTTTGTTATTATTATTTAATAAATTCTAGGTTGATAAGCTGGTGAAGAATTGATGCACATGAAACCTAAGACGAATCATACAACTGAATGAGAATGGAAAATGAAGAATTATAGAAGACATAGGCATAATGCACGTTCATATGATACACACTTTTAAACTCAATAATGATAACTCGAGGAATAATTTATAAAATTTATTGAGATTAAGCGAACAATGTATGTCAGGTGCTTAAATCATGACAAGTAAAGAATACAAAAACTAAAGGCCGCTTAAGTAAAACTAAATTAACATAGATGTTAGGTCATTTCGAAAGTAACTTGATTTCCAACTAACTGGACAATGATTGGAGTAAATTAACAATAATGGTGCCAAATTACTACGTTTAATATCAATTTAAGCTATATACACCAACGATATTTGAAGATAGTTTGCAAGTATGCATGGCGAAGAAAAGCTCACCAAACATAGGCATTAAAAATGATAACAAACATAGTGTATAAAAGATATACTTGATCTTTGATGACCTACGAATAAAAGTCTTTGTATATAACTTAAATTCCTTTTAAAGAGCGGAAGAAGAGGCTTTAACACATTATGAAATACTGTTATTGCCTCTCCCTCCCTTCTCACTCACCAAACCAAAAAATGTGAAAATGATATACCAACCCCCCACCCCACACACACACCAAGAAAACACCAAGAGAGTATGAATTATGATGACAAGATTGAATATAGTTACCAAACATCAACTAGGAGTATACAATAGTCAACTAAGTATTGTTTACATGGAGAATAATAGATTATGATGTAACAAACATTGATTAAAATAATGGCCATGCAAAGATTATGGATGACTTTTTTCTTATAATATGCTTACCAAAGTCAACACACATAATAGCAGTAAAAAGAAATTAGATTTGAAAAACATGTGAAAAAAATATAGAATAATCAGAAAGTACATATTATTCTCACCATTTCCAACGTTTGTTTTCTATGCTAAAAAGTCAAGTTCATACAGAACCTAAGTATTTTTTAAGGTATAACAGAAGAGTAGGGCTGAAAGTATACAATCAATTAACATAAGAGATTTTAATGTCAAATGTACATCAATAGTACTTTTCATGCTAGAGTTGTGGTTTCGAACCCCACGCCTCTGCGCGTGAAACAAGAGGATCGATGCAAAGACGCCCCCAAACTCCTAATTATGGCTGTGCCTCTGCGAGTGAAACAAGAGGGTCGATGCAAATACGGGGTTATGCAGAACACTATTAGCTCACTGCAGACTAAAATAAGTACTTACGAGGCAACAGATAATATTGTGTTGTCACAACTCACAGGGGATTTTTCCCACTTCTGGTGCTAAAATGAAAGATCTCATTCAAATGCACTCTTAGGTAATCAGACAGAGCCATCAATCATGAATATGACACGACGAATACACAGGTAGAATAATTGTTTTCTCCATTTTCTTCTCATACAACTTTTATTGAATTATGAATAATCTTACATACAGATAGATGTACCCGAGGTAAATTTTAGCTATATAATTACATTGATATGGGGAGGAATCATGACTATCTGAATATACTATATCTAAATGTACCATATTTTACAATGGGGAGATGCATGTACCGTGTACTGCAATGTTGGTTAGGAAGTATATATATGTCAATTGTCATTAGAGATGGCCTCGGGAAGTTTAAAGGTAGGAGGTTTGTCAGCACCTCTCCTTGAGTACTCTCTCCATCTTCGAGCAGCTGCTGCAGCTCGTTTTGATCTATCTTCCACTTCCTCCTCTGTAGAAACCAAATCAAATTAGTTACACAGTAATACGCATAAGCAAGTTCATTTAGGCTTAGTTTTCCTACCTGTCTTTGTGTAGTCTTTACGATCACCCCATAGGTTATCCCAGTATGATTCAGTTTTCTCAGAATCTTTCTTCTTCATCATTCTGACTTTAGCTTGTTCCTGCAGTAGCTTACATGTCATAAAAGTTTTCAATCTAATCACAATGTTACAACTATCAATAGGAGGAAAATCGAGCATGAAATCCCGTATAGGAAACAACTTTATGTACCCCTCTGTTAAACAAACAAGTGCACATTTTCTGATCTTGCTAGTAATATTCCATGAAGGTAAACTATACCGTTAACTAACAAGATTCAAAGCAATATCTAAAGTCATGGAAATTTCACTGCTCAAAATGAGACAAAAATGAACAAAGAACAGAGGAAACTGCAGCACCATATCTACATTTACTAGAACTTAAAACTTCATAATGCATGCGAAGCCAAACAAAAAATCTGGAACATGCATAACAGTATGCAACACGTACCACGAGCGCCCTGGCATATATAAAATACCACTGTCCGAAATATTGTTAACAAGTAATTCGAGATTTTGTGTATAAGCAAAACAAACAAACTGAACGATGAATATAACAAGATAGGTAAAGATAAACTTTAAACACTTGAGCTAGGAGTTCATACCAAGACTTTAGATTGTCGTTTTTCCCACCGTGTGCTCGCCTGCATCATAAAGCATTTTGACATGATTCAAATGTGTAAAGGGGAATCGGAGAAGACAAAATCTTTAGCTGAACTTTAAATGCAAAGAGCTTCACTATCAGAACATTTCTTAAAAAATACGACTTGCTAATTCAGCCAACTGTACAAATCATTCCGAGAGTGTACCCAAACCATCACTTCACTTCCAAGAAGTCCAAACAAAGAAACAGAACTAATGGTGGTCTTGATAAATAAAATAACAGAAAAGTTGTAGATAGCATATGGAACGCTGAAGCTGCAACAGAATTATGGACATCTCAAGGCCAAAATATCATGATAGCATCAACTAGAAATTAAACTCATACGGACAAAAGAGACAAAAAACGGAATTACGGTTTACCATTCTGAATACATCCATGGCTCCACTGCCCATTCCTGATAGCATCAATGCAACCTATTGACACATAAAATATACATGTTACACTCAATACCAACCTAAAAGAAGATCAAACAAGATTAAGGAATTTGTAAAGTTTAGCAGCATATGTTGTTTAGTTGATAGAGTCAATTGAAACTTGTTAACTCAAACGGAAGCAAATATTTGGATAATCTAGATGGATCACAGAATACCATCGCCAAACACGACAAGAAGCAAGTAGAATCTATCTTTAAATAAAAGCAATACATAAAAGCATTAATCCACAGCTAGTCTGATTAACCGACTGTTACTTCCACAAAATCCCTTTATACCTGATCAAAAGCTACAGATCTACTAAAACATTCACCCTTAGAGCAAAACATTCAAAAGGATCTCACAAGAGAGAGAGAAGAATGTGCTATCTTTGCTGTAGATGGAAGATCATATTCCGTTTTGTTAGACCACCAACTTAGATAACTCTGCAAAGGAGTAGTCTGCCGCTCTTCTAACCCTTGGCCTGCCTGATTAGTTAAAGGCAGTTTACTAGATTTTAAGGAGAATGCAAGGTATTTTGAATGCTACAACTTTTTTGGTCGCATAGAGTTGAGTGAGATGATTAAAGCAGTATCTACTTATTTCGTGTTCATAGAACTTTTAGGTGATTAGGCAAGTTCAGTCAGCAAAAAGCATAAATTTATGTTATTGATATCCAAAGTATTACATGGATGTGTTAGGTTATTGATATCCAAAGTATTACATGGATGTATTAGGTTATTGACATCCAGAGTATTCAGCAAAAAGCATAAATTTAGAATTGATCTGGCAACAACTCGTGAAGTCGTCGAGCATTTTAGAGCAGCAAAAAAGGAATATAAACTGCATATGTGATGGACATAAATCACCAAGATAAATGAGAAATGTAGCTCACATTTACTCTTTCTATTCTTCGCATTTCATCCTCAAGCAAAGACAGCTGTGCAGCAGAAGTCCAATGTATGCAATCCACTGGGCTGCAAAGAGAAAGAACTAGTGATTTGACTTGCAATATCATTCGATACTACAAATCCTGTGAGATGGATATAGCAGAAGTACAAAACATAAGGATCGTAAGACAATCAAACCATATTGGCAAATAAAATGGTACTTCCAACATATCAGAAAAAAAATAATGATTTAGCAAAGGATTAGTTAGACCTTCCATATTTAGGAAGAGGCAAGATTGTTGAGCCATTGAACAAGTCCAATTTGGTACTCCCTCCATTTCGATTTGTTCATCTTACTTTCCTTTTTAATCCTTTTCAAAGAGAATGCCTCTTCCCTTTTTTGACAACTCTTTAGTTCTAACTTTCCGCATGGCAAAATTAAGTCTTCTACATATCTTTAGTTTAGGGCCATAAGATTCAAAAGTCTTCTTTACTTTATTTAACTCCATGTCAAGTTAAAATCAAACAAACAAATTGAAATGGAGGGAGTATGTAATTCTTTTCCAATGGATGAACTCAAAGTCATCAGATGATAAGATATAAATCAAGTTTCCTTCCCTCTCCTTTTGGAAACGTAGCCTTAATATAGCATAAGAATCTTTGTTAAAACTAAAAATGCAGATATTCCCAGAAGTTGAAGCAAACTTAATTACATCAGTCTTTCACAAATGACACTCTTCCATACTCTGCTAAAGTTCAAGCTTATTTGACCAGCTTATAACTACTTATGGGAGGGGAAATAGATAGAATAAACATTGCGGTCTAAAGGAGATACACATTTGAACTATACTCTAGTGACTCAAGTCTCAAGTTGTTCTATAGTCACACTTAGCGTGTGTCATAAGCATTTGATAGAGCAAGAATATGACAGTTGAAAGATCTCATAGCAGCATGATAAAACAAATGAACGAAACAAGATAGCATAGGAGATGCATCACATATATAAGCTCCAGCATTGCACTTCAATTGCCAATCTGCAGTATCATTTTTGCAACTTTATTTGCTATGTATCATGATTTTACCACATTGAGAGACCAGAAAGGAAATAATAACTATATGTCTTTTCTTACTTGAAACTTTTCAGTGCAAAATTACATTAGGTCATTAGTAGAACGGATATATAAGTTCGAGACAAGCAGCTATATCTATGAAGGAAGAACCCACCAGCTATCTATCGCTTGTTGAATTAAATCAGGGTGTCCGCATTGATCGTAAACTCTAGCTCTTCCAAAGTCTTCCTCAATCCCAAACACTTTTGAGCAAACATTGGCACAATTTTTGCAGCCTGTGAAGGAGAGAGAAGTGTTCTAAATCATACCTTTTCAAGAACGAGCTGCAATTTTTTTTTATTTCAATGAATTGGCAAAACATCCTTTACATAGTTCAACAAAATTAGAATTGGAAGTACAATGCTTTGCACTTAGACTACACAAAATCTATGCACTTCTTTCTATATACTTTACGCATTTAGACTCATTGAGACGTGAAACATTCTCGCTTTCTAGCCTTGTAAAAAAGCATGATTTGGTGACAATAAATGTGTTGGAGGTGATCAGATGACAACTAGCTTCTTTAATTAGTACAAGCACGACCTTTAAGAATTCAGCATCAGGAAAAAGGAAACTGAAACTATGGAAGATGTGTGTTTCAAAATATAGTTAACCAACAATTTAACTAATAGATTATGGTTAACGATCGACATATTTTAACTGGAACTACAAAAAGGACAGCTACTTGAAAGAGACATGAAGTGGAACAAAAAAAAAATTAACAAACAAATAAAATGTGAGACTATAATACCTATGCAGCTAAACTCGTCAACAAATACATGATCTTTCGGTGATGAATCGCTCAGGAAAGGGTTGATTGCTGTGGCTGTGTACCCATGGATCTCATCATAAACTCTCCTTTGCACTGGATCGCTAAGAATCTACAGTATTATAATGATTAGAAATTGAAGTTCCAGATAAAACACATGGACTGTCAAATTGTGAAGCACCCACCTCGTAGACCTCATTGATAAACATGCAAAAATTTGTGGTCTCGGGATCATCACCACTCAAGTCTGGATGGCAAGCTTTCATGCAACTATAGTATGCCTTCTTTATTTGAGCAGGTGTAGCATCGGGAAGCTAGCAACATAACGGACATTATAAGTTAACGAGATATCCTTTAGCATGATTAAAGAAAACACAGAAAAGGAAACAGGCAAGAGAAAAACAAAACAGACAAAATTATGCTAGAAATGAGCATTTTCCATTGTCCTGCACCGGGGAGGATTTAGAGTGTGACCTATGGGTTTACGTGAATCTAATAACTTTTGCCCTGACCTTGTATCTGTAAATATTTTATCATGAAATCAATTGTTACTATATGTTAACTTGAGGTCATTATAGGAACTCATAAACTTAAAGTCCTAGATCCGCCTCTAGACTCCTGCAAACTGAGCTTCTTGAATCTTGATAAAGTACAAACAACTGAGATTCTTTTGTTACTATAAACTCATGGTGTATCTTCCTTAAGAGTATTAATGAAGCAACCCTATCAGAAACCGTTTGGTAGCTGATTAAAATTATGCACATATTAGTTATTCCATCTTCTCCCTGCATAAGATTGTTACCAATTCCCTCATAACTTATACATATATTAGTTATGTGAGTTTCTAAATTGCAAGCCAAGCATCATATCAATTTTCACATAAATAACTTACTTCCTAACCAGCTACTGAACATTATACAACTTACACAAAAATTAATACATAGATAAATTACCTCTTTACTGAGAAATTCACTGCAAGTAATCACAAAAACAGAAACTACGACATGAAAAGAAAAAAACAGCTTCAAATCACCTTACCCCATACACCAAGCAGCAAATAAAAACAGTAAAAAATTGATCTTTGAGAAGTAAAATGCAAAAAAATAAGTTGTAAATTACCAAACCCAAAACAGCATAAAAATCATCAGCAATTTCCTCAGATGCAGCAGCAGAATCTTGATAAGCAACTTTAATTCTCCCTAATCCTCCTCTCTTCCTTCCAAAAACACCCATTGAGCTCAAATTATTACAAAAAATTGGAACTTTACTTCTTGGATAGAAACACTGAACTGGGTTGTGTAATTTGAGTGAATCTGTACATACAGGTGACAACAATTGAGCCATTTTTACAACAAAAAAAAATCAAGAACTGACCAAATAATGGATCAAAATAAATACAGAAATAGTGGATTTGGGATATTTTTGTGTGGAAATTAAAGAATATATTTAAGTTTATGAGGAGGGAAAATTTTTGAAAAATACAAAATAAAAAATAATTAGGAGAAATGATGAGATGGCAAGGTGTGAACCATTTATTTTCCAAGAATGTAGAGGGACCTTGGCCCCTTGTGGGAAAGAATGAATCTTTGTGCAGTTTGGCGTACGATGGAACGTGAAATTGTAAGCAATGACACGTGGAGGATTTTACTTGCACGCTTCATCTCTAATTTAATTTAACTAGTAAAATTATCGGTGTCTCTCACGGGAATTTAATATCACAAAATTTATAAAATAATACTTTAAACATATCCGTTAATAAAACTAAAACATTATGTTATCTTACATACAAGATTACGCAATAACAAATATTAATAATGTAAAAAAAATGATAATTATAACATTTTATTATTTATTCTTTAATCAATCACCTTTAATTTGATTTCATAGTTTATCCTTTTGCTTCCTGGAAGTGTTACTATTTTGATATTTTTGGAAAATCAAATGAACATCAACGTGAAATATTAAATTTTCTAATAAATAATCGTTGGTAAAGGGATAAATAAATTTTAAAAGGCCGAAAAAAATGAACAAATATTCAAATTCTAACGTGTAGAAAGTGCAGCCTTACCTTTTGATTTACATATATCATTTTAAAGTTTCCCATTTAAATGTATCATGAGTAATTATCAAAATGGAAAATTAAAGGGAGAATGTATCATATTGGACAATAATCCAACTTTTAAATATACTTGAAAGGGAAAAATATTACACTATTCCGTTTATTTGGGTGTTTTTAAAAAAAATCAACAGAGTGATGGAGTTCAATTTGAAACTACGCTTCTATTCCAATTGCAGTGTCGAGAAACACATTTATTACTTCAAGAAAAATATTTATAACTTGCAGTAAACTTGAGAATCTGTCCATACTTCTTTTTGAATATGAGCAACTAATTTATTGTGTAGTTATCTATGTCTTTGTGCAGAATAAGAAGAAATTCAGAATTTTCGTTATTTTAAAATGAGAGGAAATTTCTATATTTATAGACAACAAAGGGTAGTGTGAACAAATGCTTATTGTGCCTTATCAGAAATGTCACAACTCTTTGGAAAAGTTACAACTCTTCGGAAAGGTCACAATCTTTCATAAATGTCACAACTTTTCATAAAAATCGCAACTCTTCATAAAAGTCACAACTTTTCATTAAAGTCACAAATTTTCATGAAAGGGAAAGACTAGTTTTAAAAATAAATAAATTAAAAAGGAATTACGGTTTGTGATGGCGCCACGCAGACGGGCCCAATGTTTTCTTTTATATATTTATATGATTTTAATAACCATATACTAAAATATATTATACATATCATATTGACACTCTTTAGTTTCTATATGATTTTACTTCTTTATATTTTGATATTCTTTAGTTAAAATTTTAGCTCCGTTACTAAATATTACTATTAACGACATGTATATAATATGTTTTCCAATAGTTGAGAAACTTGTGACTTAAAAAGTACCCTTTCGTACTATTTTACTTGTCATTTTGAACTTTACACGCCTTTAAAAATAAATAATTATACCAATATTTATCATAATATTTATATTAATTGATATTTAGTCCTAAATCATGAAAAATAATTTTCAAAATAAACAATCAAAGTTGGAGGTAAAATTCAAGAAAAACTATTTTTTTTAATGATATACAAAAAGTGACAAGTAAAAATAACAATATAATTTTAATATAATAAACAAGTGCAAGCAGATAAATATTATTTTATTATTATGTTATTAATGCATCTCCAAAATGATTTAATGATACTGTAACACTGTTTTAAAGTTTTCAGGGGGCTAGTTTAGAAATTCTCAGAACTTGAAGGGTATAGGGAGATATTTTTGAAACTTGAAGGGGGCCAATATTGCAGTGAAGCAACTAGAAGGACCTATAGTTGCAAATATAGTTAGGTGACTTTCTCGTGAGGACAATTATGAGAGCGCGCGTGATACAAACGCGTGCTGATTTCCCTCGGAATTCAAACCTCAGTCTGAATTCTGAAATCCCTAAAACCCCTTTCCACTTTTCTCCTTCCAAAAACCGAACCAGATCGATCGAGCGATGTGGAATAATCGACGGCCGCCGGAAAATGGCTCCGGTAACGAGGAAGACAACTCCGATCAGGAGAAAACCATATCAAAGGCAGCTGGTTTCGTGGTCGTTTCGGGAATCGCGATGAGCATTCTCAAAGCACTAAATCCATTCAACAATCAAAACATCAACAGTAAAACCAGTGAAGTAAAGGCAACAGTTTTCGAGTCAGCTCCATCTCAAACTCAGCCTCAAGTGCTTCAACAATGCCAGCCAGAGCCTGAGCCCATCATCAAGGTTGTTTACTTGTATACTTGTGTGCATAATTGGTACTTCCTCCGTTTCAATTTGTTTGTATCATTTTTACTTAGCAGGAAGTTTAATGAAATAAAAAAATATTTTTGAATTTTGTGATTTTAAATCAAATATATGTCAATATGTGTAATGTACCTAAATGTTTAATCTTGTTGTAGTTAACATGTCATATGTAAAGTTGAAATTAAATAGTTTCCAAAAAAAGAAAGATTCATTCTTTTAGAATCAAACTAAAAAAGAAAGTAACGCAAACAAATTAAAACGGAAGGAGTTATTTGCGGTCCTTATTTTTGTGGTCATTTTTTATTTTTTTTTGTATCTTTGCATTTATTTTATGGCTTTCCAGAATCCGAGTTGTTGTGCGGAGCGAAGAGCGAAGGAAGTGTCACCAAATGTGATAGAGATTGAGCGGGGAGATACACTTTGGGGATTCTCTAGAAAATATGGGGTATGCATACGTGTTCTTCCCTCTATCTCAATTTACATGACATTCTTTTCGTTTTGGGGACATTTCCATATGTTTTACACCATTCCATTTGTTACGAGCTATTCAAATTTAAAACAATGATGAATGTTTCCAAAATAAAATTTGGTATGCATACGCGTTCTTCCCTCTATCTCAATTTACATGATATTCTTTTCGTTTTGGGAACATTTCTATATGTTTTACACCATTCCATTTGTTACGAGCTATTAAAATTTTAAACAATGATGAATGTTTCCAAAATAAAATGTTCATTCAACTCTTTAATATATTTTTTCCAATACCAGTAAAATGCTATATAAGTCAAATTACCATTTTAAAAGTCTGCAATCATATAAATGTAACACATTTTGTATTATATTAGAATATTGGTTTCTCATTTATATGAAAAAGAACAAAAAAGAGCTCCTTGTTTACCAGTTGATAACATTGTGGCATACTGAGTGTGTATTTTGGCTTAACTTAGGTATCAATTGAGGAAATTAAGGAGGCTAACGGGCTTGAAGGGGACACCATCTATGCTGGAAAGAAACTTGTAATACCTTAATGTGCTCCTTCTCATTGTTTCTTGTTGTTGTAGCGTTGCTTACCACGTGAGGTTGTTCTCTTCATTTGTTAAAACTAAATTTAAGCTGTATTAGGCCAGAAACTTTTGTAGTTTGAAACCAAGGTTATGGCTGCCACTAGAGATAGAGATGTGAGATTGGTTTGAGCTAATGTAAAATGAGTAAAATTTTAGCTGCTATGATGAACTTGTATCTCAACTCGCAACATTTTATTATGTAGAAGAAATGATTTTCTCCAAATTCTCTCTTGGTTATTTGCCCTTTATCATGTGTATGATTTAATTCTCTTTGTTTAATTACATCTTCCATGGTACCAAGTTCTCTTTGGTAGCAAATAAAGCTTCCAATTTTAATTCTGTTGCAGAATCAAGAGAAATGCTGAAAGCAACACGAAAAAATGTTTTATTTTATAATTAAAGCAACAAGAATAAACGGAACAAACAATGTAAACAGAATGAAAAGTGAAGGGATACGAACTACCAGTGCAGCATGTGGTACAACTATTGCATGCTACAAATGCCAAGTCTTGCTAATCATCTTGCATATTCTTGTGGGGCTCTCCGCTCTTATCAGGCATCTACAACTTTTCCTGGACACAGCTTCTAATATGTTACGTGGGGCTTAATGTTAAAAGTTAACATGGATTGGTCAATAACACTTAGGGTGGATGGGATGGAAGAAATACAGGCGTAAATCTTTCCTAATTTATGCAGGAATTAAAGCTTTGAATCTTCTGATCTCTCTCATCTGGGAAAGTCTTTATTGCAGTTGTTCTGCTTTACCATTTGATGCATGAACTTACTGAAACTTCACTTAATTGCAAATTGTAAAAGTTAGCTCATATGATTTCATTACTAGAGTGACAATAGGATGTTTACCATTCCAAAGTAGCTATCTATTTGCATTTTACTAGAAGAGCTTACTAGAGTGACAATAGGATGTTTAACCAGCAAGAAAAGTAAGTAGTTGTATGTCCTCAATCTTTACCCTATCTTAAACTCAAAAAGTCTGCATAATAATGCATTTTTCTCCACATTATCATTTTTCCACTTGGCAACATCTATTACAATGTTCTGAGCTAGTAATGGCATGTTCTGCTTCTGCCAGACTACTGCTATTTTGTAGCATGGGGACCTGTCAACATGTGAATATTATATTTGCAGCATTTACCAAAAACCAATGACTGTCCTTATTCAAATAGAGAGACTAAATGTATGTAAACCTACAGTATCATGGTAATTAGACTATGAAGCAAGGGAGGTGTCTTCAAGTTACCTCCCAGTCTGTAACAGTGAAAGCTCATTATTTCTCATCATGGAGTTTGAGATCTTCCTTGTCCATGAAATATTCACACATGCATTTGCTCCTCTTCCACCTTACTAGAGGCCTCTTTCTATTTGGTGCAAGTATGGCTTATTTCTTATACTTCGTATGGTTCTTCTTTTTAATAATGTGTTGGCTCCTATTCCCAGTGTTTTTGCTGTGAGTCAATTGAATTTAGCCTCTTAACTTCGTTGACTTGGTTAAGAATTGTTTAGTATGTGGTATACATTATGATTTTGTATAGTCTGGAGATGAGAACTTAACGTGCTGACTGCTGAGCAAGCATCATGATTGTATAAATTCTGAGCAAGTCAAACTGGCATTTTCTTACGAAATGCACTCACTTGTTAGAACAGCTTCCCCGCCACCCCCACACCCTGAGACAAAACCCCTTACTTTCCATAGTATGGTTTTACTCTCGTAAATGGGAAAAAGGACAAATATACCCCCGAACTATCGTAAATGGTATGCAGATACCCTCCGTCATACTTTTGGGACATTGGTGCCCCTACCGTCCAAAAATTAGAGCATATATGCTTTTCACTCTAATGGAAGACTAAATTAGGGACACGTGACACAATTTTATCCGTTGATTTGATATTTAATAAATGTTGGATCTGTGTATAAGATTATAACACATGTATGTATGCTCTAGTTTTTGGACGGTAGGGCACCAATGTCCCAAAAGTATGATGGATGATAGCTGCATACCATTTACGATAGTTCATGGGTAAATTAGTCCTTTTCCCCCTCGTAAATTGACAGAAACAGCAAAGTGCTTGACGGAGTACGCTGATCTTCATTCTGGTTTGTCAATTTACTCTAGAATCAGTGGTAGTGTGAAAACAAACATACAATTTTGTAGTTTTCCCTTATTTATAGTTAACTTGATCTCTTTTTGTCTCTTTTCTTTTAGTATATTCTATAAACCATTATGCAGTTCAAGAACTCATGAAGTTCAGCTCTATTGTACAAAAAACATGATAGTGAGGTAGCTTATGTTATAAATTTTTGGAGCTTGTCGTAGTGCATTTCAAAATTGGTACCAAAAATGTGGATAGCGGAGTAGTTTATATGATCATATGCAAGACTGGAATGTTTCCCTCTCTGCAGAAGTTAACATTATCTTTTGGAGTTCTTAATTGGGGACCATAGTAGGAACACTTTGGAAATTTGTAACAATGAAATCACATTGGAAAAGGTTAACAAAAGTGAAGTAGAATTGAGTTTCAAGCTTTTCTTGTGGGCTACTCTTGAATTTCCTCCATAAGAGAAGGAAGATGCCTAATCATTAAAGGAATACCTATTTTAAGAAGTCTATTATTTGAGCTATGCTTTGTAGTTTATGATTTTGCATTCACCTACTTGCTTTTAAGTGGATAAAGAAGCCTAATGCTTAGTATCATGCATACTATATTCCCTAGACTACAGATTAGCCTTACTTTCTGATTGAGTTTATATTTTTCAACATGATTTCATAGGCCCTACTGTTTTTCCATGCTCCCTTGCAATCATTTTGTATCACAGGTCCTACTTGCAAATTTATTATTTGTGTTAATGGTAAAAAGCAAACCTAAACAATCACATTTTTGCGAGTTCCATACCTCAACTATCACTTCCAACTGCCCAACTCGGCAATGAATATGTCGTTCAATTCACACTGGCAGGGTGGTTGAGGTGTGTGCTTTGCAAGTTTTATAGTTTCTTCACACAACAAAACAAAGGTATGATAGTATTCTACTCAACTACTCGTGCCGTATGGCGAGATTCTTCTACATTCTAGAATCTATAATATATGTTCACTCTCTTTGTATTAAAGTGCACCTTGATGCTGAATTGGCGTATACTTTGTTGTCAATTGGAACAAATAATTTGGTCATTTCAATATCGAGGTGTTTTTAATATAAAGAGAGTGATAGTTTAGGTAGGTAAAGAGAACAATGGATAATTGAGGTATGAAACTCGCGTAAAGGTGATAGTTTAAATGTGTTTTTGTCCATCAACTCTTATTATTGTGTCATTTTTACATAATTGGCGTTTATGTTGTAGAGAAAAGTTCTGTTTTTTTTTGTGAGTTTTGCATTTGCTTATTGATCTAATTCTGTATTAACTATATTAAATTCTCCCTGCAAGTCTCAGATCAAATCTGATGTAGCCAACTAAGATGAGCTATCTAAAGTAACTGTCAATTATGGCAAAGAAAAGTTAAATCTGACTCACATTAAACTATAGGTTTAAACCAAATCCATTTTCTTCTAAGCTGTTCCAAATGAAGACCAATCTTGCTTATATTCCATCTCCCAGAGCTTTGGTCTAGTGGTAATAGCGTCACAAGTGATGTGTATATTAGGCACAGGTCAGGGGTGTGAACCCTGTGGCCTGGTATTCAACTGGACAAGAGTAGAAGGGCGGGCCCATCTCCATCGAGTTTCTCGTTTACCCAAAAAAAATCTTTTTTTTATTCCAATTGTGCAGGAGCTTTTTCATCTTCCATGATGAGTCCAAGTGGTTCCTACAACATAATGTCTTCCCTTTGTTTTATCAACTTGAATATAGCAGCCATTTCACTAGCACACCACCACCAAAGCTTTTCCATATTCTTGAAATCAACTAGTACATAGGACCTGGCACCTAGCATGTGAAAACAATCAAAAGTTTTCACCTTTTTTTGCAACTTTTTCTGTTTCTTCAATCCACTTTTAATGGTGTTTATAATTGTAGAGAAACGTGATTACTTCTCTTCTCAACCACATCTTAAAAAGCATGACACCTAACACAAATCTTTAAAGGAAATCAAGAATATCTAATTAACATCATGATCACAAGCTTTTATGAGCTAAAAGAATGTCTCTTATATCCATAGTGATCTTCACAGGTTCATTAATCTTGAGACATAATCATGATTAGTGAAACCCCACTTTCTAATTGCATAAATTATTTTCCCTTAAACATCTCTCCTTCAAATCATACATCTGTGCTCAAAGAATGCAGAACTCTAAGGCAGCAGCAGCCAAGAAGCAGAAGCTTAAGGGATGCAGTGCCTTGTGCTGTAGCTGTAGGCTGAGTGTTTCGTCGTCTTCAGAAGAAGCTGAAAGCTCCAGTTCTGGTAGATATCCGACTATTTCGAGCTTAACACATGCTATGGTGCAAGAGAGGTTAGACAGGATGATTAGAGAAAGAGAAGAGGCGAAAAATGAAGAGATGAGGAGAAGGAGGAGGAGGGCGGAGCGAGATGAGAAGACAAAGTTTATAGTGATGATAGCTATGGAGAAATCATCTTATGATCCAAGAGAGGATTTTAGGGAGTCAATTGAACAGATGATAATTGCAAATAGGATTTGTGATCCTAAAGATTTAAGGAGACTTTTGAATTATTATGTTTCTATGAATGCTGAGGAATATCGTGGTGTTATACTTGAAGTGTTCCATCAAGTTTGCACAACTTTCTTCTTATCATGTAAACAACCTTCATCTCATCAAGTATAAAATTTCTATCAATTCAAAGTTCATTCACCACCCCGTACCCCAACCTCAAATCAAGTGCGGTATCTTATTAGCTTAGTTGGTTGGTTGCCTGAACTTTCGGTAAGGGTTTGATTTCTATCTTGTAATCCCCTTCCACATTTCTCTTCCCCCTATCCTCGATGTAATGTTTTTTAAAAGAAATGCACAGATAGCCAATTTTGGCAGGTAATTTACGAGAATGGTCTTGGAGATGGGGTGATATTGACCTTTGACCTCGTTTTCCCTTTGGACAAAACTTCACATTCAACAATTTTTTACTTTTGACCATGAAGGTTTTCCATTGAGACAAGCAGGGTCAAAAATTCAAGACGATCCATTTCCAAGGTTATTTGGCGCAAGTTTTTGGATTTTATGCTTTAGATCCTTCCTAGCTGGAAAATACTTGTCATTTACGTTTTTAGAACTCACATAAATGAGCAATTTGAGCTGAATTTGAACCAGACAATCGATAAATGAATCATTTACTCGACCTGTCTAAAATTTGTTGGGCTGAGTCGTAATATATTGGGTTGCATAATTGCACTCCATGCCAAACATGAAACATCCAACACCCCAAATACAATTTGATAAATATGTTTAAACAACACCATTCATTACCACAATTGGAAACCAATTAGGTATTCATAACGTCTTTCGTCATACTGGATCACTGGTTCTACTATGATTTCAACAAAAAAGAAAAAGATTTAGAGTTCATTGATAGCCAAAATGGGAACTAACACATCCTCCCTCATACACCAACTAAGAGTAACGCACCAAAACTTTCCTCTAGGAATGATATATAGATATCAGTCTACACAATGCATAAACTTGCTAAGCTGGTTCTCAGCTTATCACTGAATGTTTGAGGACTTGTTAAGGATAACACCTTCATATTTGACCTGGAACCACTTCATTGAATCTTCCTTTGTGACCCTGTGCTGGATCCCGACACGAGACTTGCACCTGCGGCGACGAGCAACACGGTATCCAGGTCGCTCCAAGACAACATAGAAATCCATACCATAAATACCAGTTGAAGGGTCATACCTGTTAAGAGAGAAGAAACAACAAAATGACAACTTCAGAACAAAAAAGATGATCAGTTTATATATGTGTACCAGATTCATAACCTACCGAGGTTAACATGGTAAGATGCAGCAACCATAAGAATAAATAGAACAGATATTTAAGAGAACTATATGTAAAATCCTTTCTTTAACTACTTATACTAAGTTTTACGCAGTTCCAACGTAAATTTTAACATAGTTTTCTTGTTATGCATTAGAAAAGGTAGACCAGTAGCAGACCACTACCCAAGTAAAATAAAGCTAGCCAGCTAATTATGTAGATCGTGAAAGCAAAGCACAAAAGATACTACTAGATGACAATCTGCTTACTTAATTCCAAGATCAATGTGCTCCTGAATACCAAACCCAAAGCAGCCGGTTTCACTGAAGTTCCTTCTCAACAACTCGTATTCCTTAACCTTCAATCCACTCTCAAGTAGCTGCATGGCTTTCTCCCCTCTGACAGTCACGTAGCAAGCTATCTTTTCATTACGCCTGATACCAAAGGACCGCACAGTATACCTTGCTGTTAATAAGAACCACTCAAGCATGTGAGAAATCAAACTATGTCTTCGGACAGGACACAACTGAGATAATTACAAAGTATATTAAATAAATGTCCACAAGAAAATCATTGGGAAGTTCATTCACCAACCATATAACCTGTATCAATGTATGAACTAAAGCAGGAAGCAAGTTAGCTAACCATAACTCGTGAATAGCATGGTAATCAAATTTTAACAATCTCAGATCATGAGTAATGCTAGCCTGGATCAACATCTTGCAAAAATACTTGCAGTTTACGTTGGCAAAAAACTACTCCTAAGAGGAACAAATCCAACACAATTACAAGAACCTGCAATCAACACAGCTAGTTGCTTGAGGTAAGTCTTTATATAGTAGACGAGAAGGAAAGTTATTCCCCAGAACCTCACATTTAAAATGTGATTAGTGAAATCAATAAATGACACCTTAATCCCAAAACTAATTTGAGTCAGCTATATGAGCCCTCTATATTAATCTGTCACTTAATGTTCAGTGCTGAATTTAATATGTAACTGATAAAAATTAAGCCAGATTTTAACAGTCTACCAGACCAACAATATTGTTAACCAATTACCACAAAAACGCAGCTTATACATAGGCGTTACTTCATGCATTGGACAATTAATCAGTGTGCATATCAAATATTTATTTCAAAGAGTCGACAGTGTCTTCCCGTGTAACCTATTCTTTTCTTGTAGATTTATTCTTCAAATTGTTGTTTGGAAATGTGTGACATTATATAATGATGGAAAACAATACAATATATACAACCATTGAATTCATCAAAACACTACATACAAAACAATGCAATACATTATGAAATAATATGTAACAACCATAAAAACAAAGTGTTAAAATGCATTGAAGATTCGAAAATTTTACCCTTGGAGAAAACAGGTGATTGGCCGCTAAGTTGCTCCAAGACCTTTAAGCATAAAACAAAAAAAACAGAAGTACCCTCCATCTTAGTTCAACATCAAAACAACGGAAAAAAAAAACAAATTCACGAGATTTTGTGAAAAAAGGTGTTACCTTTGCTGCTCTGGTGAGTCGATCTCCACTCTCACCGACGGAGATATTGAGGACAAGCTTCTGAACCTTAATGTCCCTCATAGGGTTACTCAATTTCTTCTCTGAAGCCTGCACTCATTATAACACAACAAGAAACATTTAGACGACATTGAGATATACATAAGAGAATAAGAAACTACTGACGGAACGAGGGAAATTGCAGAGAGATACCATTGCTGGACGAAATTGCAGCAGCAGGGAGTTGAAGAGTACTGAACCTGAGGCGCGAAGAAGATGGTGAAAAACCCTAATACTATCGAAGTTTTACAATGATTTGATTATGGGCTGCAGTTGAATCGGGTTTGGGCCATTTGTTCACTTTTATAACAAAGTTCATTTGCACTTTTGGTCCTATTTTGTAGGGAAAATTGTATATAATAACAAACTATTAATTCAAATTAAATGATATAAATATAGTTTGATTTAATTGTATCTCATAGCAAACTGTTGCTATTTCACCTCTCTCCTGGTGAATCTCGCTCGCCACTCTCGTTCTCTCCCTTGCCTCTCTCGTTTTTTATACAAACGCAAGTGTATAAAGTGTGTTTGTGTTTGTATAAAGCGAGAGAAAATTGTATATATACATATATTTTCGTTCCCCTCTCCCAGATATCGGTCGTCACTCTCCCAGATTTCGCTCTCTCACTCGCCTCTCTCACTTTATACAAAAAACGCAAATTGTATAAAATGAGTTTGTGTTTGTATAAAGCAAGAGAAAATTGTATATATACATATATTTTCGTTCCCCTCTCCCAGATCTCGCTCTCTCACTTTATACAAAAACGCAAATGTATAAAATGTGTGAAAATTGTACATATACATATATTTTCTTTCCCCTCTCCCAGATCTCGCTCGCCACTCTCCCAGATCTCGCTCGCCACTCTCCCAGATCTTGCCCGCCACTCTCCTAGATCTCGCTCGCTCACTCGTCTCTCTCACTTTATACAATTGATCTTTTTGTATATATATACCAAAACAGATTATACAATTGCTTTCTTTTGTATATGTATAGCTAAATATATATATTTATGTTTGCTATGGACTGCAATTATGCAAACTTTGCTATAGCATACAAATATGAATTTTGTGTTTGCTATATGTGAAAGTTATAAAAATTCCTTTTCTTTTTTCTATAAACTTATGTGGGTTTAGATTGGTAAAGAGGAGAGTCCAAATAGACAATAATGCGGCCCAGCCCAATAATGAAAAATGCTTACCATCATTACCCGAATTCGGAAACAGAAATCCACTGGTACTCCGTCGTATTGAAGTTTTCCGGTAGTGTTTCTACCGGCATAAGCATTTTTGTATATCCAAGGTGATTAATTTTGTGAAGTTTAATGTTGTTTTACATCATATTCATTTTGATTGTTGGCTCTAATCTTTTCCCCTTTTTTCCTCATTTGAAAATTACTAGATTTCATTTTTCCTTCAAATTATTGAAGAATTGTATTGTTTCATGATTGTTACTTCTAATTAGATATCCTACAATGGTTGTTAATTCCTTCTTGTTTGTAATTGCTTGTTTGTTCCTCGCTTTGTACAGAACGGACAATGGTTGAAAGGCTCATTTCATTACTTGTGATAGCTAATAATAGCAATGCAAAAGTTGTTATTCTTATCCAAATACAAGAAAAATCATAGCTTTTATAATTCTACTACATTGTTGCTTTCTCCAAGTTTTGATTTTTTAAATAGTTTGACACTGTTTACTTACAAATGGAGGATTTTTTTTGTTAAAGGAAACTAATGCAATTGAGAAAAAGAAAGCACCACACTTGTGGTTTACTTGGAGCAGCACCAGTTTGGTGTTGTAAGTGGATTAATATAAAGGTAGATTGAGTTATAATTATCCTTGCTTATGTTGCTCCGACTCTCCAATAATGTGGTTGCACCCTTGTTGGATCCTCCAAAAGTGCATTATTTGGAAGGATCCGACATGCACTCGTCGGCATTTTTGAACAGTCCGAGCAACATAGAATTCCTCGCTGCTATTGTATTATATGATGTTTTCATTAATGAAAACCTTTGTTCATTGCCAAAAGATGATTTCGTGTTTTCAGTTTGATGGATTTTATGAACTTATATAACTCATAAGAATTGACCAAGAAGAACAGATAGGGCTGCCTTTCATACAATGATTTTGTATTGCACTGTGCATGTCCATCTATAGATTTGAAGTTTTGAACTGAAAAATGCTACTCTTTTGTACTTACAAAAGAAAGAGTTGATATTTGAAAAGGATTTGTCTGATATTTTGTTCAAAAAATGATTCAGGTCACAGGTCTTAACTCCTGGATTAGATGTGGAGTATCAAAGGTAGACTTTCAACAAGGTTAATGAATATTTGCGTAGCATCTCTTTGTAAAGCAAAACAATTGGAGAAAGCTGAAGTTGTAATAGTTGATGGCATAAGAATTGGAGTACAACCAGATGTGGTCACTTATAATACACTGATTACCGCATATTGCCGCTTTGTTGGCATTGATGCAGGTTATTCCATCCTTTATAGGATGAAAGAAGCTGGAATTTATCCTGATACTGTTACATATAACTCTTTAATAGCTGGAGCTACCAGATATTGCATGCTATCTCGATGTTTCGATCTGTTTGAAGAAATGCTTGAGATGAGTATTCTTCCTGATATTTGGAGTTACAATACATTAATGCATTGCTTCTTTAAATTGAGAAAGCCAGATGAAGCATACAGGGTTTTTCAGGATATTCTTTTGAAAGATATTTCTGTTCATCCAGCAACATTCAATATATTAATTAATGGTCTTTGTATGAATGGATATACAGAGAATGCCTTAATGTTATTTAGGAGTATAAAACGTCATGGATTTATTCCCCAATTAGCAACTTACAACATTCTTATTCATGGGTTGTGCAAGTCAGGACGGGGTAAAACTGCAAGAGAATTTCTCAACGAGCTGGTAGAATCAGGTCATATCCCCAATGCCATCACTTATACGACAGTAATGAAATGCTGCTTCAGATGTAGACAATTTGAAGAAGGCGTTAAGATCTTTGCAGAGATGAGAAGGAAAGGATATACATATGATGCCTTCGCCTACTGTACAGTTGCAAGTATGTTACTTAAAACTGGGAAGATGAATGAGGCCAACGAGTACCTGGGCTATATAATTACAAATGGTTTTGACCTTGATATAGTGTCTTTTAATACCATTGTTAATCTATATTGTAAGGAAGGTCAGCTGGATAATGCTTATAAATTGTTACACGAGGCCGAAAAAAAAGGGTTGGAGTCTGACAAGTACACCCACACTATCTTTATTGATGGCTTGTGCAGGACTGGTAATTTCAAAGAGGCCCAACAACATTTGGACTATATGAGCATGATGGGTTTTGATTCTAACTTGGTTGCTTTGAATTCTTTTATTAATGGGTTGTGTAAAGCTGGTCACCTTGATCATGCTTTACGGATGTTCGAATCAATGGATGCCAAAGATTCTATTACTTACTCCACTATGGTGCATAGTCTTTGCAATGCCAGGAGATTCCGTGCAGCATCTAAGCTATTACTATCGTGTATAAGAGGTGGCATGAGAATTCTTAAATCAGATAAACGTGGTGTTATTGATGGTCTTCGTGGTTCTGGATATTCGCAAGAAGCAAGGAAGGTCCAGTCTAAAATTCGATTGGCTAAGATACTGCATGATTAATTAGGGATGATGTTCAACTTTGCCACTCAAGTGTTAACCTTGTTTAATTGCCTAAGGTTTTGCATTATAAGTCTTTATGGAAGCTTTAAAAACTCAGGGATCATGCAACTGAGAATACAACCTACATTACCCAATTTTAAGTTAAGTACTTAGTCCTCTTGTAAGAGGCAAACACATGACACTGCTGTGAAGAGGTCGTGAATACCTTTCCTCATCCGAAAGATAGTGATGACATGATGTTGAAACTGTGAAGAGTTATTGCAACAACAACAACAACATATACCTAATGGGGTCTGGGCAGGGTAGAGTGCATGCAGACCTTACCCCTACCTCATGGAGGTAGAGAGGTGGTTTCCGGAAGACCTTCGGATCTTGACTTATTATGCGGAAGTAAATGCATGTTTTATTACAGATGCGAAACAATTAGGTGGGCCAAAACTGTAAGTCATTTATACTTCCAGATAATCTCTGTCCACTTATTCTTTTGTAATGTTTAGTATTGAATTTCAAAGCTAGATAGTAGAGTACAATCAGTTCAATTAAGGACTGCTCTTTTCTGCAGCATGTCATTCTGGACTCTGAATCTGAAATCACTAAGCTGTCGTGTTTGGCTGAAGATAAATCAAAGGTGAGGATTGTACTCCTCTTTTTCCCTGGGTAGTTAGAAATAAAGTGTTCTTACATATTTGAGCCAGATTTATCTTTTCTGCTCTTTGAAGTTGTTTAAGATGTGTTGACAATAGCCAGTTCCTTTTTTGGGATCTTTTAAATGACCACAATTATTGGCTGCTATCAAATTTATTGATAATTGATGTTGTGGTATGCCTATGATCACTTGCAGATTTTAATGCGGTTGCGCAATGGGTTACTACTTGAATAGAAGTTTGCCTATTGAAGCTTGAAGTTGTAAGTTCCCTACATCTTCATTTTCCGAATTGATTTTCATAGTGGTTTCAGTTATGAATTTTTTCCTTGTCTGTCTCTATGACAGGAGATTGAGCAATTTCAAAGATTTGGGACAAGTAAGATAGCTTCTAAAGCTTCTTCTGTCAAATGCCATGAACTTAGTATGGTGAGTTTAAATTTCTATTTTCTTTCTCGTTCACTTAGTTGAGCTTTCCTTGGTAGGAAAAGAAAGGAAATTTATTTCTCTCAAATTTTGTTACTATATAGTAATTCTCCTTGACACCTGACATTTTGTAAATTTTCTCGGTAAGATAGTACTTTGTTATCTTGATTTGAGAAGCTTATACACCTTGGAGTATGCAAGTGTACAAGTATAAGTGTCAGGTGTAATTTCCTCCTTTTGTATTGCAATTTGCATGTCCTTTCCAAGGCAATGACTCAGTTTAGTAGTATTACATCAAAGCTTTTACATCCACTTACTCCCTAAGCTGATTCTTACATGTAACTTTGTCCTTAAATCTGCAAGAATGACAGTATTTGAGATTGAAAAGATTCAATAACACCAGAAAAGCCCAAGGCAAAAGAAAAAGTAGTGGGTAGGAGCCACTTTATTCACATTCAGTAGCAGCTTGCTAGTGTCCTTTCAGGTCAGTAACTCCTGCAATAGGCTGCTAGGTTACTTGAAACTTATTTTTTGGTTTTCCTGCCCTAATTGAAGGCGAGTGGAAAGTTTACGCCAATATGTCTTTTAAAAGCAATAGTATTACTTGTTGGAATATTAAGGGATAAAAGCAATAAAACACGATTCTATTTTCTTTGGCTAATTGCATCACTCTAGACTTGATATACCCGGAAAAGGTGTCTCTCGCTCAACTAAGTGCAGTATCCCTTCTCTCTTTCATCTACCTTTTACCTTTTGATGTTCTGTGTATGCTTTCACACTTTTGGCCATTCTCTGCTAAGTTTAAGTATAAAAAAGGTTTCGGAAAAAACACCTATCATTGGTTCTTTATATGCCCCCATTTTAGGGTTTTCAGTCATTTTGAAGTGGAAGTAGACTGCCAACTGTTAAATCAAAGGCCAAAAGCCCAAAACATTAGTTAATTGGCTAATATTTCCATGTATATTTTCTTTGTTCTGTTTCACTTCCATGATCCTTCATCTCTTACGCTGCCTTTTTCAATATATGGTTCACATTGTGTCAAGCTGAATAGGCTTCTGAAGTCCTTAAACTCTTCCTCTCGTTGTCAATATTAAATCGTGGATCTTAGATTCAACTGTTCACTGTTTGTGATTCTATTCCTGCTATTGCCCTCTGCTCGTCTTTGGGTTTAGTTAACCTTGAGTGGATTTTCTTTTAATATACTTGGACTAGATTCTTTGTATAAACTGTCCGTGTTTGGTTCACAAGATGAGATGGCATGAGGAGACATAAGAACGACTCATCTTCTTATCCTTTCTTTAGTGGTGAGATGAGGAGTTATCAAGCTGAAATGATCATTAGGATGAGTTATTCTAAGGCCATTTTTTATATCCCAATGGGGGGTGGGGATTATTGTTATTAATCATAGAGAAATTCATCTGAGGATGACTTAGCAGAGATGCCTCATCCTATCAGGCACAATCATGCACGTTGAGGTGGCAATTCATGAACTGGGAACTTTGTGCTCTCTTTTAGGTACTCTCTGTTAAAATGTGTTCCATTCTTTCTGAGTTAAACTAATTTACGGCTTATCATGCTTTTGCCAGTTCTAACAGCACTCCTCTGAAGCCAAGGGAAACCGAAGAGCTGTCAATGAAGCAGATTAAACAAACGAAGAAAGATGCTAATCTCCAGCCAGACCAAGAGGTGAACCTCATTGTCGAAAATCTCAAGTTGCTTACAAGACTGGCTCAACCAAACTTCAGACCTCAAATAGATCTTTTAATTACAAAATCGTAATACATTTTCTTTTCTTCTTTTCAGAAAAAAAGAATCATAATCTCTCTTTCTATATATTAAACTTCTATGATATGGTTCTTATCGTTTTCCTGGTAGCCTTGTTGTCATCGCTTTTAGATGCAAAAGTTCGTCCTATGTTAGCACTACAACTTCCATTATATACTGCTTAGTTGTTTCCCTGGTTTAGCCTTGTCATTACTTTTAGATGAATAAAAAGTCCATTCTCCCTAACACCATGACGGTGCTCTATAACTTGTGCTGCTTCACCTTATTCTTTATAGGAAAAATTATGCAATTCATATATATGAATTGTTGCGGAAAATGCATCAAGTTGGCTGTGTTGAAAATAACTGGAAGATTTCTGCCCATAACATATCGATGTGAATGATCACATCATGAGAAATGACTTTTGTCATACCAAACACACCTGTGAAACATTTCCTTTGGTTTGGCGAAATGAGTATAATTGACTAACAGTATTAGCCTAGTAGTATTGTTCTATGTATTACAACATGAACAGAGAAATTTGAGAGTGTATTTTGTTATGGCAAATTAAGTCGGAAGAACCATGGGAGAGTAAAGGCAATGACGAAGCAAGCAAGCAGGAAATTACAGCAGGATTGTTGACATCTCCATCTACAATCTTCGTGTGTTGCAGCAGAGGAATTGGTTATATATGAACTTCTTCTGGCTTCTACTGCCCTTTGGTTCCATTCTATCACCATTATTCTGTTCTGCCTCTCTGCTAATGTTCTTGTTTCCACATTTTTTGCTGTCTTCCCACATATTTCACATGATCTGTAAAATCACAAGATAACACTATTACATTCCTCACTATTCAATCTGAATTCACTCTGTTCTAAGGTCGGTTGTATGAATTCTCAATGTTCACGTAGATTTAAAGCTTATGAGTTTGGAATTTTACTTCTTATTTTCACGTCCCTGCATTTGTCTTTCTGATTTGTGAAATGACATCTACTTTTGCTTTTTCTGGTTGATGTTGGGGTCAATCATATCCTTGCCGTTACAGACACACAAATATTTTCTTATTTTCCATGTATGTAATGATTTCGTTAGTTGAGTTGTAAAATAAAAACACAGTGTGCCAATTTTATAACGGCAAGGATTTGACCGACCACTTTATATGGGAGGCCAAGATTACAAACCACAAGAACATGAACTATTTTAGGTACCATAGAAACTCCTTACACCACTAACTGTTAGTATATATAAGTTAAATCGTATCAAAAGTACCACTAACTGTCAGTATATATAAGTTAAATCGTATCAAAAGCATGAAAAATTTCAGAAATATAGAATGGTGTTACTTGTTGCCTCTCTGATTGAACCATGCTTCAGCACAAGGGCGATGACAAACACCAAGCTCACCTTTACAATCACAACCAAGCTGCAAAATCTCCATGGATTCATCATTCAAATGACATATTCGACATACGATTTCTATTGCTTGATTTTCATCACTACACTCTGTTTTTTTATCAATATCTATTACAATTTCAGCAGCTATCTCCGTTTTTTCTCCACATTTAGTACCTAAATTGTCGCTCTCTTTAACTTCTTCGTGTGTTATCTCAGTTTCTTGAATTTCTGGATTATTTGAAAACTCCTCTGTTTTCGAGTTTTCACTGTTTGCTGCAAATTCCTGCATAATTTGCTAATTAATTTGTTTAGTGAAGAAATCTAACTTTTAAAGGAAATAAAGGAAGGAACAGAGAATAAAGAAAATGAATGGAAAAAGCATATCTTCTTTACAAAATGACGAACATACTTTGCTTCAACTCGTTCTTTAGTATACAGGAAGCTTTATTTCAGTGGAGACTTTGTATCAATAGTGCAGAATTTTTAAAATCTGTTTATTTTAAAATATATTTTTGTTGGAAAAAATATATATATTGAGATACAAATTGTATTTGACTTGTCAATTTTAAAACATTTTTGTCAATATTAGAACAACAACTGAAGTTTAGCAAACAAACTAATAAAAAGTTAAACGATATACTGAATTGGTGAACTACTAATATGATTTTACATGGAAGAAGCTCGAAAGAACGTGAATAAAATTAAACTTTTAAGCCTCTGAAATTTCATAAATCAATATATTTTTCCTTTTTTGAAAAAACATCAGATTTAAAAGTGGCCCCGTAAATGATATTTTTTTTCGAGTCGGGAGCCAAAATGATAAAAAAATTGAGTAAAATTTTCAAAAGAACAAGAAAAAATAAGTTGAAACCAAAAGGATAACGTTTAGATAGAAGAAATTTGATGGAGGAAGACGCAGTCTCCAATGCGCCTTACTCCTTACCATTAATTTTTTTTTTACTTTCTCCATCGCTATCACACATATTAATGTTGCATACAACAACAACAAATAGGAATATAATATAGTTAATTAATTAATTACTTAGACATATAATATAAAATCACAACCACTAATTAATTAATTAATTAATTATATTATATTTCTATTGTCTAAGTAAAGAAAACAACATCTTACATTATTGCTAGAAAATTAAAAATTACTACAAAAAAAATAAAAATACTACAGTGAACTAAAAATACTCATTTGTGATTACTACAAAATATAAAAATTATTAGTAGGATTCCTTTCGATCTGAATTATTCACTATCATAATAAACTATATTATCTCACTAAACATTCGTAACTACACTTTTTATTAAATTTTGAATTCCACATCAAACACTTATTTGACTTCCCAAATTTATTTGGAATACAATAATCAATCAATTATATTAGATTATTGAGTGTTTAATTAATCGATCAATATTTTTTTTAGATTATTGTTTAACTTATTTCATATGTCCGATATAAAATTCACTTGAAGGATTTATACAATTAAAATTTATATGATTCAATCAAAATTACCATCACATGAAATGAAGGACATTTTAAAATCATTTCTAATACATAAAAAATGACCTGTTTGTACAATTGAATTTGACACCTTTAATATTCTAATCCATGATAAAACTATTAAACTAAGAATAAAATGGTAGTACTTATCATTTCCTCACATTCAAAATTTTATTCGAAATTCAAAGTATAATGAAGTAAATATATGTAAAAAAAAATCTTACAATGTAATTTAAAAGAAATTGGTCTTTTAACTCCCTAATCACAACCTTTCGTGATAATCAAGAGCTTGACAACGTTATGTGTGGGTGTCTTCTGTCTCTTCAATTCCTTATTGATTAAAAGCAATTGCTAATTACTTTTTTTTAAGGTTTTTAGTTGTGATGGTTTCCTTTTTGAAAGTCAAATAATATATATTTTGGCTGATATTTTAAGATGTATTTCTTAATGATATTGATATGAAAAAAATTGTAATATTTTTCATATAGTTTTTAAATATCTAATTTTTAATTTTAAAATATCAAATTAATGTAATCTA